TTGACGGGGACGTGCTCCTTGAGGTGGTGGTACAGGGCCCGGCTATCGCCCTGGGGTTTGTGGCACGCGGCCGGCGAGGACGTCCCTGCGGTGACCTGGTGCGGCTGCTGCTCGGCCTTGACGGGGACGTGCTCCTTGAGGTGGTGGTACAGGGCACGCCTTTCGCCCTGGGGTTTGTGGCACAGCGGGCACCGGAAGGGCGGAGTGCTCCCGTGTTGGGCGAGGTGGCTGATGAGGTGGCACGGGAACAGGAAGAACTTATGGCAGAGGCTGCATTCGTTGGGGCCACTGTCGGCGTGCTGGCGGAACAGGTGCGATTTGAGATTACTACCGTTCCTGAACCGCTTCTTGCAGACCGTGCACTGGTGGGACTTCTCGCCAGAGTGGGTCTTGAGGTGTGCGTTTAGTTTGCTGACCAGCCTGAACTCCTTTTGGCACACTGTGCACTTGAAACCCTTTTCTTCCAGGTGGATTGTTTGGTGGTGCGCTAGGGAAGAGGCGGCCGTGAAGGCCGTGGGGCAGTACTCGCACTTGTAGGGCTTCTCGCCGGTGTGCGTCCGCATGTGAGTTCTGAGGACGTGCATCACGGGGAAGGCCTTGTCGCAGAACGTGCACTTGAACGGCCGCTCACCTGTATGGTACCTCAGGTGCACCTTGATGGCGCTGGGGTCGGCGAACGCCTTGGGGCAGTACGAACACTTGAAGGGCTTCTCGCCCGTGTGCGTTCGGAGGTGCACCTTAAGGGGCGAAGAATGCACGAAACATTTTGCACAAAATACACACTTATAGGACCTTTCTTTCAAATGTACAGAGCGGATGTGCAAGTTCAAGGCACCTTCCTGAGCGAATGTTTTCTGACACACGGTGCACTGGTAGGGCCGCTCGCCAGTGTGCGTCCTCAGATGAACGTTCCTGTTGCTGCTTTCGGCGAATGCCTTCGGGCAGTACGAACACTTGAAGGGCTTCTCGCCCGTGTGCGTTCGGAGGTGCTTCGCAAGGCGCTCCGCCGCCCCGAAACATTTCCCACAAAATGCACACTCAAAGGACTTTTCTTTCAAGTGTACTAGGCGGAGGTGAAGGCTCAGTGCGCCTAGCTGCTTGAATGCCTTCTGGCACTCGGTGCACTGGTAGGGGCGCTCGCCAGTGTGCACCCGCAGGTGGGTCGTTAGCCGGGATCTGTTCGAGAACGCCTTCGGGCAAATGGAACACGCGAACTTCCTGAGAGGGTCTTCGGACTGACTCGCATGCTTCATTATGAACGCACCTGTAAGAGTACAAACGTGCGTGATAGTGCTTCTCAAACAGTAGCCCGGGACGGTGTCCTTATGTTGGAACGGTGCTGTACCTGGCGGCGACTGGACTCTCGGAACTGCTATGTCTAGCTGCTGCTCCCTGTCGGTACCCGCTCTGCTCTAGTGCCTGAGGTACGGGGTACGGGTGCGCCGGTGGTGACCTGGTCTGGGTCGCAGTCCGACTGTCTGTGCGGGCGCATGCGCATGCCTTGCGTACCTGACTGACACGGTGCAGAGAGAGCCTCTGCGCGGCGCCTGCGCTGAAGCAAGAGCTGGTCCGACGTCCGACCGAGACCGGCCGGGAGTCAGGAGCGGCTCGGGCGGCCGTCGGGGTTTTCGGACGATGCCCGGCGGCATCTCCCACGCACACACACAACTTTTCCACCCAGCCTAGGTCTGCTACTGCCGATGCGAGACATACATAATGGGACCTTCCTTTAGGTCGGCAAGAGAGTGGAAGCCCGCTCAAGTTTTAAATAACAACTCCAGATTCCAAAATTGGTCCGTCACTTTTGTATATTTGCTTGGTCAAAATATACAAAATATACAAACAAAAAATCGCACAATCGCAAACACATTTTCAAGTTCGTTTGAGAAATTACATTAAAATATTTTTATCGGCTAGACGAATCCTCATTTGTCATCGGATTCCTCGTGTCACAAGATAAACGTTTACCGTCTTGTTCCACGTCCAGCGACGCCGTCGTCTGTCCCCGGCCTCCGGGGCCCCGCCCCGCCCGGATGTGAGTCCACAGGTGCTGCAGGAGCCGCTCGCACTTCCGGAACCTCCTGCCGCACTCGGTGCAGAGGAACGGGGCTGGAGGTGGCGGTCCGCGGGGTGTTTGGTACGGCGGCTGCACGGCCTTGAGGGAGACGTGCTCCTTGAGGTGGCGGTACAGGGCACGCTTGTCGCCCTGGGGGTTGTGGCACAGCGGGCACCGGAAGGGCGGAGTGTTCCCGTGTTGGGCGAGGTGGCTGATGAGGTAGCTCGGGAACCGAAAAAACTTTTGACAGAGGCTGCACTCGTAGGGGCCACTGTTGGCGTGGTGATAGAACAGGTGCTCTTTGAGGGCACACCCGCTCTTGAACCGCTTCCTGCAGACCGTGCACTGGTGGGGCTTCTCGCCAGTGTGGTTCTTGAGGTGTTTGTTCATGTCGGCGACCAGCCTGAACTCCTTTTGGCACACGGTGCACTTCAACCCTTTTACCTCTTCGTGGATCGTCTTGTGGCGGCCGGGTCGGCGAAGGCCATGGGGCAGTGCTGTGTGCGTCCGGATGTGGTGCCTAAGGTGGTGCCCCAGGTGGAAGGTCTTGTCGCAGAGCGTGCACTTGAACGGCCGTTCGCCGGTGTGGAACCTGAGGTGAACCTTCAGGGCGCTGGGGTCGGCGAACGCCTTCGGGCAGTGCGAACACTTGTAGGGCTTCTCGCCCGTGTGCGTTCGGAGGTGCAACTTAAAGGCCGTAGACTGCACAAAACATTTTGCACAAAATACACACTTAAAGGACTTTTCTTTCAAGTGTACAGCACGGAAGTGACATTGCAAGGCGTAGTGCTGTGTAAATGCTTTCTCACACACGGTGCACTGGTAGGGTCGCTCTCCAGTGTGCGTCCTCATGTGGACCTTTAGGTCACTTCTGTACCGGAACACCTTGGAACAAACGGGGCACCTGACCTTACAGGGTAGCATTCCGGACTGACTCGAGTACTTCATTGCGTTTGAACCTGAAATAGTAGAAATGGCGCGTGTTAGGGGCGGACCGAGAGGGCGACAGGTCGCGGTTGGCCTTTATACTTGGAGAACACTCCACGATGCACAAACAAGTGTGCGGGTTGGCGTTCTAACTTCACCTGGCCTTCTTGTTTGAACGCTGCGCTGCTCCCTTTGACGGCCGGCCGGACTGTCGAGGCTGCCGGCTATCGCTGCTGCTGCCTGGCAGTGCTGGCGGACACGGCTGCGGCGGCTGCAGGTGTGAGCTCGGCGCCTCCGTGAAGCGCGTCGTTCCTGCGCTCAGCAGCGGCCCCCGCGGTCGGACTCCAACTGGCCCGCTACTGCTACTCCACTCCGGCAGCTGGGAAACCGGCCTGAAAGCGATCTGGGCGGTGGCGTACCCCCCCCCCCCCCCCCCGTACCTAGGGAGCCGTGGGGGCACACGACCTGCTCGATACATAAGCGCATCGGGTCCTCGCCCCTCTTCAGGTATTCCCGGCGACCTCTGATCGCCCTACACCCCCCCCCTCTCCCCTTCACTGCCTACCGCTCCGTTTCAGGTGTTTGGGTGTTATATTGGGGGGAGGGGGGGGGGCACCAGAATGAAGAGTTATTTTGTGCAGTCTACTACATGTGCTTCAATGCGCCGTGCATGCGAGCCATGATTTACCAATAAAGCGCCTTCCGGTACAGCGCTGGATGCAGAAAAATGCAGGCAACAAGAAGACGGAAGTCACCATGTAAGAGCCGAGCGATTTTCCGTTCTCTTCTTCCTCGCATCTTCTGAATTTTAGCTTTGCCGGAATGCTTTAATGCGGAAAGCCCCAAAGGACATCATAATTGGATCAAATTACAGAAATTTACACATTTTCTTAGGATAAAATATGCATATATTTACTCTGAATAAAACAGCACAGCGGCGAACAATGTAATGGGTTGTTGTAAATCAACTTCAACTTCCTTCATTAAAACCAAAATTCGACAGCGGATACCTCGTGTATTTCGACTAACGGAGGAACAAGAACAGCAGGTAGAACATAAACGTTACCGATTCGTCGAGAGCATCCCGCCTCTACGTCACGCCGGTAGTGGGGGTAGTCGCTCGGCCAATCAGGAACCTTTATGTTCTACCCGCTATTCTTCTTCCTCCATTAGTCGAAATACACTATTACTAGATCTAGCTGCTGCGACGCCGTTGCATGGCTGCGGCCTCACGGCCCGCCGCGGCCCCGCCCCGCCCGGATGTGAGTCCACAGGTGCTGCAGGAGCCGCTCGCACTTCCGGAACCTCCCGCCGCACTCGGTGCAGAGGAACGGGGCTGGAGGTGTCGGCCCGCGGGTCGTTTGGTACGGCAGCCGCACGACCTTGACGGGGACGTGCTCCTTGAGGTGGTGGTACAGGACGCGCCTGTCGCCCTGGGGTTTGTGGCACAGCGGGCACCCGAAGGGCGGCGTGTTCACGTGGCGGGTGATGTGAATGATGAGGTAACTTGGGCACTGGAAAAACTTATGGCAGAGGCTGCACTCGTAGGGGCCACTGTTGGTGTGCTTGCGAAACAGGTGAACTTTGAGGGCACACCCGCTCCTGAACCGATTCTTGCAGACCGTGCACTGGTGCGGCTTCTCGCCAGTGTGGGTCTTGAGGTGCTTGTTCATGTCGGCGACCAGCCTGAACTCCTTTTGGCACACGGTG